AACACCCAGTTTGTTCCGGCAGTCCCGGCGGTTGAGGTTCTCCATTGTCCTCTGGTCTGCTTATGGGATGGGGCTACCAGGGCCGCATCGCACTCGGCAGGAGGGATGGTGTTGGTGAATTCAGGGGGAGCCGTTCTGGTTGCTAGAGGTTTTCTGTTTGATGGTGTTGAGGACCCTTTAATTGCTGAAGCTCTTGCTCTTCGTGAGGCTGTTCGCTGGTGCCGGGACTCGGGGATTGTGGAGGTGCGTTTTGAGGGAGATGCCAAGGTGCTGATTCAGAAGATTATTCAATCCGACACTAGGGATAATAGGGTGGGGGCACTTCTGGAGGAGATTGTAGGGATGATGGGTTCGTTGGGAGGTTTCTCTGTTCGGTTTGTAGGTCGGCGTAGTAATAGGGCAGCCCATTTGGTGGCTAGAAAGGCTCTTTCATTGTACCCGACTACGAGTCGTTGCTTTAATTTGTTTGCCTGGCTTGCTACCAGGATGTAACTACCTATGTTTCTGATCAATATATCGATTATCTTTTGAAAAAAAAAAAAAATTTAAACATGGAACGATTACAATTTAACAAAGGTGTTACGAAAGATTGCAATATATTTTGCGTAATGACTTTGTATTTTATGTAACACTGTGTTATACAATCATTATGTAAGATAAACATACATTATATGTATTTCGTAACAACTATTGTATTTTACGTAATAAAATATATAGTCACCTTACTTCAAGGTATTGTAGCAATCCTCAGTATTATTTGTTGAGTGTTTGGGTTTGGTAGCAAAATGATGACAGGGCCTAAAAGTTCATATGAGGTAGTATGTTGTCTAAACACCAACTTTTATGGTATTATTATTATTATTATTTGTGTTTTTAATGGGTCGCGACATCTGTAAAACTTATCATTTTGGATTTTTATCGCAAATCAATGAGAGAAGAGCCATTATCACACCACAATGCACATCACAAAAGTGAAAGGAAAGAAAAACATGAAGCGGAACTGATGGAAGAGGCACTACTATCCGCAATCAACATTCTACAAAATTCACGAGAAACTTACCAACCGGCCGGTCACAATACTAGTATAACAATATTTGCCTCACAATTCAAAGTACCTAGCTCTCCTCTCGTGCTCAATTGCTCATACATAACGTCCAACTTTCTATCGGCATTGGTTCTTTAATTGCTGTTCATTTTTTGGATTAGTGTCTAATTGACAAGTTGTTTTCCACAATCAAACCATTAAGGAAGAAGGATTTTTAATGAATCAAGTTGAGGTGAGTTTTGTCTTGTTCAGTCATAGCTCGAACTCTACTTGTCTATTAACCAACTGAATTGAGTCGAGTTCGAGCCGGTTATTTTATTAAAATTTTTGGCTTTTTATCATTAAAATCACGAGTTCAGCTCCAACTCAACTTGTTTATTTTAAATGAGACATATTTTTCACATAATACATAACTCGATTTTCTCATAAAATGGTTGTCGAGTTCGCTCTTTAATCACAATATTGAGACATCTCACGAGCTCAAAACGAGGCAGTTCACCAGTTGAGCTCAACAAGCCACCGAATCAATCTGACTCACGATCCTCGCTAGCCGAACAATGGTCAGCTCAAACTCGACTTGTTGATAAGCTAGTCGAACTTTCCGCCTTTTCCCGAATCGAACGAACTTTTTCCGAGTGGAGATGGTTCGCGAGTCTCCATGCTAAACAAGTTCAAATAATAAACGATTCAGACTTTTCCCAGAATCAAACGTCAAACACAACCATACTCAGAAGTTACTATTTCCCGACTTTTCCATCTTTACTCTGAATTGTGCCGCAGGAGCTTCAGCCATTTCAAATTTTCACTGATGTATGAACCATAAAGCCGTAGCTCCGTCTAATGAGTCCACCTGCAGAATCCAGGATTACAGACCGTAACAGCTAACCCACACAACCACCGGCCACCCGCTGGCAGTGTAGATTTATCAAACCAACCAAAATTGAGAAGTGATGGTAGGAACTAGGAATTAGGAAAAGAAGTAAAGAACAGAGGCTTATGTCATGTGTGGTATCAAACAAATGATTCCGACATGGGCCAAATCATAGTGGGCCTACAACTCCAGTTTGTTTCTCCCATTCACTCAATTAAGGCCTTGACCATATCAATTTCGAGGCCCACGTTTTAGCAAATTCTAATCACATCATTTCAATTTCGAGGCCCACGTTTTAGAGAATCTGAATCCAAAACAAAATTATTCTATCCGTCTCTAGTTGCTATTCTACTTCTAGGGATTAGGGATAGGTCCGATAGTTAACCTAAAAGGGAAAATAATTAACCAGAGGGACTGAGAGGATTGAGAAATGAGGACCACGGGGTAATCTAATCCCTCCCTATGGCTAGGGGCCGCAAATCTTCAGTAAAATATTAGTTCTAGTTGGTGAGTCGGTGGGCTGCCCTTGTCATTCCTTCATCGTCTTGCTTAATTCCGGCTGTTTAATTAGTATTAAGCATTTCTAATAAGGATTTGGGAGATAATAATTAATTCCAGTTTTTACAGAATAATAATTTGAGATAATGAGATGGGCCGGCTTTGATTAGACAAGCCAAAAGGATTAGTTAGATCTTTGGTGGGCAGATCGCACAGGACACATGACCTCAGCTCAACCTCAACTCCTTTGCATTGCCCAACAAGTTTCAACTGAAAATGACTCCATCCATAAAATCCTTCAGAAAACCATAACTAAGCTTAATTAGCTCCCGGTTGATTATCACACCGTCTTCGGACCATTCTGAGTAAACAGAGGGGTAGTTATCATAAATGGTCACAAAACTATTCACTTTGTACAAAACGGTCACAAACCTTTAATTTTGCACGTTTCAGTAACATATGTTTCAACTAATAACAAAAATGTAATTCCTTCCATCTCCATCCAAAATTCTGTTAGTGTGGTCCAGTCAGCTGTTCAGTCAGCATCCACATCATCAAAATAATTATTAAAAAAATAAATAAAACCAATTAAACCCTAACCAACCCAATCCATTCCTTCTATCTCCTTCCCTCTCCGCCACCATCTCTGCACCGTCTTCTCAGCTTCCACTAATCATGTCAAAACTCCCTACCTTCCTTTTCTTCTTCCTCTCCACCATCTCCATTTCCCTTTCATCTCACCCACTTGACCCAGTAATGCCGGCCGAGTTCACCGCCGTCCAAACCGCCGTCCGTGCACACTACTCCAGCCACACCTCCATCGCCCTCAAGGACCCACCAAAATTCGCCGTCTTCTCCTATCTACACCACCACTCCGCCGGTCCTTCGCCGCGACGAGCCTTCATCATCGCCCAAGTCAACCACTCAACCACCCATGAAATCACCGTCGACCTTACCGATCCCAACAACATAATCTCCGACCAAGTCTACACTGGCACCGGCTACCCGATTTTCACTACCAAGGAACAACTCGCAGGCAGCGCGCTCCCGTCGGCCACACGCCGTTTTGGAGTCCATACGGAAGAGGGGGCTCAAATTGGGGGAAATCGTGTGCAGACGTACGGGATCGGGTGACTTGATTTATTTTATTCTGTTGATAAATTTGAGTGGAAGCTGAGAAGGCGGTGCAGAGATGGTGACGAAGAGGGAAGGAGATAGAAGGAATGAGTTGGGTTGGATTGGATTGGGTGAGTTAGGGTTTAATTGGTTTTATTTTATTTTTTAATAATTATTTTGATGATGTGGATGCTGACTGGACAGTTGACTGGACCAAACTAACAGAATTTTGGATGGAAATTGACGGAATTACCTTTTTGTTATTAGTTGAAACATATGTTACTGAAATGTGCAAAATTAAAGATTTGTGATCGTTTTGTACAAAGTGAATAGTTTTGTGATCATTTATGATAACTACCCGTAAACAGAGAGTACCATAAATGACAAGGAGACAACATGGCGAGTTCCCGCAAGCCTCTGCTATTATTGAAGTGGTGGCATTGTTGAGAATCTCCTTTTTTTGACATCAAGAATCTTTTGTTCCCAAATATAGAGTGGAATCCTTGATTCTTGTTGGTGGGTACTTACCATGTTCTGAACCATCAAGAGTGCATCCCCAAAATGTTCAATCGGATAACAGAATGGTTCAGAGGAAAGTTCTAAGTTGTGGTTTAGCAAATCAAGTATGATATCGGTAATGCATTGTTCGATTTTCAATACTTTTTATATTTTATTTAACTGGAAAAACGCATGTTAGATTGGATCTACGTGAATGAGTAAAGTGATGAATGATCGGGTAGACAAAAGGTGTTGAACAATACATGTAATTGACATGTAATATGAAATTACGCGAGGTAAGAAATATAAGATGTTTGTGTTAAAATGAAATAAGAAAAATACTATAATACCCTACAATTTTTTAAAATTACCAAGGTGATAAAATTAATTATGCCCAAACTAAATTTAATGTTTCTAATCCAGTTTGTGGTTTTAGAAACGGGTCCTTACCATCTTTCACCGATTCAGCCAAATTAACACAAAGACAGCAGCATTTTGGGGACGTTGAATCTTAAGAACACCCAAAACAAAAATGAAAGAAAGTAAGAAACAAAGCAGAGGAACAGAAAAGGACAAAGAAAAGAAAAATAGAAATCTCAGAAGAATAGAGAGTTCTTCAGACGTCAGTGCCAAAGCAAATAATTAACAATGTTAAACATATAGATTGTTGGGTAATCACGGCAGACCCCCTTAATCCTATTCTTCTTTTAGATAAACAAGAAAAAGGCAAAGTAAGCAGATTAATTAACAATAATCGTCAAATTATTAAAAGAGGCAAGAGTTCTATTAGTCAATTCCTTTCCCCCTAAGTTGCAGAACTGTGCAAGAATTGAGTATTGACCCAGGCTTCGAATTTGCAGAAAACAAACGGCGGAGACTAAACCCAATAGAAATTTCAGAACCCAACCCACCTCCATTTAGTCAATCAGAGGTCGCAAGCATTGAATCTTAACAATGGAACTAAGAAGCTTCTAGGCTGATCAAAAGTTGTTTTTCTCAATCCAAAGAAAAAGAACACAGACGAGACGAGCGAGGAAACCCCAGAACAGAGAAATAAAGAGACCCAGAAACAGAGAACTTTTCCCCGGAAAAAGTACCGCCTCTCTGCATCCATAATCGAGCTTGCAATTTCTACAGAGTTTGTTTATACAACCACATCTATGAAATCCTCACTTCCTATTGATAATAACAGAAAACCCACATCACGGAAGAAAAAAAACCCTTTCTATTTCCCAGCTCTCCCACCGCCACCGCCACATCCATATACATCTATTACCTCTAATTGGTGAATTTCAGCAAATGACACAGCCGTTGGGATTCTCGTCGGGACTCACCAATCGGTAATTGTAATTCAGGTTGTGGGGATGATTGTAAGACGGCTGCGCCATGTACGGATAAGGCTCGTAGTTGTAACCCACCGTGTAAGGATGAAACATCTGCGCCTGCTGCTGGTTGGCTTCCTTCTTCTTCTCCGCCTCTTTCTTCGGGTCCGGCTTCTTCTCGTCTCCTTTCTTCGGGTCGGCTGGTGGTCCGACTGTCAGTATATCACAGTGACAATGGTGTTTCTTCAGCTTGGTAACAATCTCGATCGGATCTACGCTCCCAATGACGGTCATCTTGCTCTCCTTCATATCAACGGCAATCGAATCGATCCCTGTAGTTCGAGAAGAGTTTGATTCAGTCCAGGGGGAAAAAAAACAGGGGAAAGAAGGAAAACAGAGGGGAAGTGAGATTAGGGGAATGCAGGGGAAGGAAGGAAAACAGAGAGGGGGGAAACCTGGGAGAGTGGAGACGGCCTTCATGATCTTCTGCTTCGTCCTGTCATCGTGTACGTCGACCTTGAGAACCACTTTCTGTAACGCGAAGAAGGAAATGGAGATTAAACCCAGAAAAATTTATTTTAGAAAGAAAAAGAAACAGAGTAAGATTGGTGAGTACAGTACCTTCATTGTTGGAGGGTGGGTCGGAAGCAAGGCGGCGAGAAAGAGAGGGAGGGAGGGAGCAGCTAGCGAGCAGAAGAAGAATTGCGTGTGGGTGTTGGTTCGTTCTGAGAGAAATCAAAAAAGGGAGGAGAGTATTTATATTGCAGAGCCAGTGGTTGCAGGGAAGATGGGTTCTCTTCTCTTCCGCCTGTACACAGATCATAAAAGAACAATTAGTTGTTTCTAACGAAAAAAAGTAAAAGACCGAAAAGGACAAAATATGTGAAGAATGGGGAAACAAATTGGAACCTGGTGTAGGGGTAAATTAGGGTTGCTATTCTTTTTCTATGCTACAAGCCTACAACTGGTTTAAAACCCCTAAACCGGTTGGGTTTGTGTTTGGGCACAGAGAGGGACTTGGAAAGTAAACCTGCGAGGAGAGGAGGACTGACTGAAATCAGAACAGACCCGACTGACCTGACCGGCCCTTTTAATTGTGTTTCTGGTCTGGTTCGTATTTGGGCATGGTGTCATTTATTCGTTTTCACGGTGTTAAATTTAATTTCCCCCCTCTTATTTATGTAGTTTAATGCTAATTATAAGCAAGTGCGCGGGAAACAAAGAGAGCATGTGGCGGTGGGGAGATCAAAGTCACCGTTTTAGCCTTTTTTGGGGAGGGATTTACATGACCCAAAAGTTACCATGCATGTCACATGGTCTGACAAATAAAAACCAACACTTAATCATTACTATTTTGATCCTAACAGAACATAGTTTGCTGCATAAGTGGATGAGATTGCGTGATTTTTAATTGGTTGATGAAATCTGAAGAGTTAAGAGAAATTATGTTTATTATGGAATCGTATAATATTTAAGTTAATGTAAATTTTATTTGAATAATTCGTTTAGTATCAATTGATCGATAATTCGAATGAATTCAACATATATACCTTATTGACACCTAACGACACTTATTTTAATAACCTTTGTGTTGTATGTGAAACCCAAAACACCACCTAGAATTGCATCCATGTTTCATCCATTCCTTTCTTTCACAAAGCTGCCTTTCTGTCTTCCTTTTTTTCGTTGTGTGTGTGGAAAACGAAATGTTGTTCATGATTGTGATTTATGGGACTTGATAAGAACTTTGCACTTGGGATGAAGCTATTAGCAATTTTCTTGTTTGGGGTGTGTGCGGGACCCACCTTTTCTATTTCGTTTTAGTGTTTCTGCCACGTGGTCTCTGTGATGCTTTGGGGAAATGAAGGTGTATATAACAATGTAGTAAATTAGTAATTCCTCAGTTTTTACAGGTTTGGTACTAATTTGCATGAAAATGATCAAAGAAAAAGATTCTCCTGGTTAATTATTGATGGATGGCGGAGTTACTGGAGAGTTGTGGCTCTCTCTCTCTCTTCTTGTTAATCGTTAAACACTAGATCAGTTTATTAACTTATTTGATGAGTGTTTGATTTTGGGGGTTTTGGCGCTCTTGATTCGTAATAATTAGCAACTACAAAACCATTTTTCAATAATTCAATGTTCCACACATTATTAAATATTAATCCTGTCCACAGAAAAAACCTCAACTGGTAATTAAGTTTTCTCTACATGTCTTTAGACTTAGAAATTAAAATACCAAGCTCAAACAAAAACCCATCGTCACCCCACGCTTAATCACATTTTTAAAATCGAACTCTTGTTACAAAAATAAAATATTTTGTATGTTGCAGACCCTGAATATAGACAACGTTAGATCAGAAGAAGGATTGGCTCCGATGTGGAGATGCAACTGCTGACCGCCCAAAGATTAAGATTGTTTTTTTTTTTTTTTTTTTTTTGATGAATAGCCCAAAGATTAAGATTGTTACTAATCTTTTATTAAGTAGGTCTTTTTCGTTTTATTTTTTACATTAAGAAAGATTATAATTAGGGGCGGCGGCCGGTAAGACATCTCCCATTCCTGGCCTCCTGTGAGAGATTAAGCTGATTAACCACTTCGCAAGATTTATGGCCGCAAGTCTTTTCTTCTCTTCCTCATATTTATATGTTTTGTTGGGGCTCCCTCCTAATTTTAATTGTGGGTTTGAAGTCTTGACTCTTTGATTCGAAAGAAGTTTGTTTAATTTGGGTCTTTGGACAATGACATGAAACAATTGAAACCCTACCATATCGTTGTATTGTTAATTAGAGCAAGGGAAAGGGTAAAACATGCACGAATGTCCGAATAATTTCGACTCTCTAATATTTGCTTTTTAATCGTGATTTTCTCAATTATAAATCGTTGATTGATATTATCTAATTTACATGTGTCAATATCGTTGTTTAATTTGACAAGGTATCGTAAGATACAACCAGCTGGCTATAGAAAAATGTTAAAAAGTACTATTTGCATAGGTGGAACTTTGACGAGAGTATTGAATAAATGTGATTACAAGAACTTGAAGGTGGAAGATACTTACTAATGTGGTCCGAAAGACCTTTTCAATTTTAACTACTACTATTACTCATCTCACATCACTCGTGTATGTTAGACTACGTCGTGCCCGAGACCAAGTTTAGTTTAGTGCCCAATTGTCAAATCTTATCGATATGTAGCAATGTTTTACAATGAAACTATCTATATCATGGGACTGAAAGCTGATGGCAAGGAGAACAAGTGGTGTTTAAGATTGATCCTGTAAACCCCTATGACATGAACATATAATGGGTTTTCATTTTCATATGGAAGAGAGAGAGAGAGACCATGAGAACAACAGGTGACTCCCCTCAGTCTACAGGTTATGGATTGGTACGTATGTAGTCTCAACTTGGAGTGGTACGTAGTTGTTATTCATTAAACATGCAACTAGTGGATAATTGTTATGTGTTTTTGAGGTGACGTCGAATAGTCTGGTGAAGTAGGAAACTGATCTTCTCTACGCAAGCAAGAGCAAATTAAAAAACATGTGTAGAGTGTCAACTGTGTGCTCTTTTTTCCATGGTGCTGCGGTTGGTCGGATCCTCACCAGTAAAAGTTTACCAAGAAGCCAACAGAAAGGTTGGAATTAGTTAGTGCACGAACATTACTTTTCAAGATGACTCCAATGACTTTTTCCAAAGTCTTGTGAACAATAGGAATGCATGGGAGGAGGAGACAGATATGAGATTACCACTTTTCATGTGTCCCATCTCTAAATCTTGGATCATTTGCTAGATTTGGGGTGGGTTGATGCTTGTATGTCCACGTTTCAAATTAAACAAATCATGCAATGATGACGATTATAATAATAATAATAATAATAATAATAATAATAATAATAATATTGGGGGCACAGTAGACCATCAATTTAACATATATATATATATATACAACATTAGGGGTGAGTAGTTGTATTAAATGTACATGAATTAGTGATGAAGCTTCAACAACAATAGGGGTTGAAAGTGAGAAACTACAATACTCTCATTATTGAATCTAAATGCTCGAGAAATGGGCTACTAATCTCAATTCCATCACTTTCTCATATTTTCTGAAGAACCATCTATTAATCTCAATCCTGCTTCTATATCTAAACTATACGTGTCTTCACCACTCTCAGTTATTTCGTCCCTAAAAAAAATGAAAATGGTATCATACTATCATTCATCATTACTACAAATAAATTGTGGTTAAGTATAATGTTTAAATGATGATTATCAATGGTTGAAATAACTGAAAATCTGCATTTCTTTATGCGGCCACACCCCAAGTTTCCAACTCCTCAAGTTGGCTGTGTCCATAATTAATGGACAATGGTACAAATCTCTGTTTCTCAATACATAGACAAACAAAAACACATAAGTTTCATACTTGACGTGAATAACCTACTTATTAATAATCAGAGTTATGAGGGGGAAAATGACATCTTAAGTAGCTGATACTCAACAAAATTTATCAGAAAAAAGGAAGAAGCCAAGTTCAAATTTGCAACCCCTATGATTTGCACTAATGACAATTGACCCTCTTCACATCACTTATTGACTTGCTAAGAACGAAGAAAAACCCTATGAAGCTTCCTTCAGCAAGATATTCCCTCATTTTTCCACTTCCCCTACCAAACCCCCATTTCATTATCAGGGAAGAGATTTTTTTTCTTCTGTTGGAGTGGAGGCAATGCAGCGGAAGATAGTTACAGGGAAGACCTGGCGATTTCTAGTGCTTCTTCAACTGAAGATGCCTTCTCAAGCTTCGATTTGTCGATCGTAGGCTGCCTCCTAGCAAGTTCGGGAAGCAACTGAAATTCCTACAAAATGGAAGTAAACGACATCATTACTACGAGTTTGCAGCTGCAACTTTCAGACAAAGAAGAATGTCGCGGTAAAAATGTAAGATCGTTTACCTCTGGACTTCCGCTTTCCAGGAGAACTCCTTTCAGTTTACCTGTGAAAGAAGCAAGACATTGATGAGCAATGTTGGACCTTGACCGCACAGTGCGCGAAACTTATGAATGGAACACAAATTAGCTTTACCAGAGTCTATCCAGAATGTAGCGATTTTTGGATCGAAGTTTCCTACTTCAACTGTCTCGCCAACTGTCCAGAACAGTAAATTATGAGTTCAATGCCACATCAAGAACGGACGTCTCAAGTGGAAGTAGAGACAATCCCAATTTGCATTCTTTTATGTGATTTTTTCTTACCATTGTCGCCAAAGAACTGCCACCAGATCTTTCTTGAGCTCCCTTCATACTCAAAAACCCTTGAGTAGAAGTAAGGGAGGTAGTCGTACCTGTACCAATATACATACAATCCAATTATCCAAACTTAGTATGATCTACAAACACTCCTCATACCAAGAATATCAGACTTACGTGTCAGTGTGAGCAGTAAGCAACGATTTAACACAATGCTGGGCAGATCGACGAGCATGGTCTACATGTTCAACTCGTGCTATGCGGTTGTACATCTGCAATAACAGCAGCATCAAGAGAATGTTGTTTGGAAAGATACAAACGAACGTTCAAGTATTGAATCGTGTTTTCTGCATGGTGAGAATAAAGGAGACCTTCAAAGGGAATGCTGCAACATCTCCAATTGCAAATATTCCTGGTACTTTTGTCCTGAACAGACCATCGACCTGCAAATACGCGAGTTTCATAAACACATCTCAAGAGAATACCATGTGAATGGTAACTGTAGAGGATATTGGTTGTGCCCATGCTT